CAATGTGCTGGTGTGCAAGGTATATATACATAAATTATATCGTGTGAGAATTTCACTAACAACTTCTACATAAATTGATTGTTTTAAATTTATGAAGCGAATTCGTCTTACACTGCGTCGCGCTAATACTCGAGGACGAGAAACGCGTGAGTCACTGTTCTTGTTGAAGGCAGAATTTTGTGATGAGATTCGCCATGCACTTGCCGAAAGCGTGGCGCCGCAAAATCCACGTACAGACCCCCGGGCGAGAGTCTTCAACATGGACCAAACAGCTATATTTGCATCCACTACTGCCCACACGACTGTGGACCAGGTAGGTGTTCGTGTGGTGCCGGCTCTGACGGCAGGTTCCAACAGCCAGCGCATCACTTTGGCCCTACTGGTACGTGCGGATGATCTTGTGCTGCCACTGCATTTCGTTTTTAAAGGGCAACCTGGTGGTGACGTCGAAAAGGAAATGAAGTCTTACGTCCCGCCGCATGTGGAAACATGCTCCGTTCAGAAAAATGCGTGTTCAACGAGAGGGTTATGTTAGAATGGATAGAAGATTCGTTTAGACCTAACGTTGACGGTTACTCTGTTCTGCTACTCGATGCTCTCAAGACTCATTAGATGGTCAGCGTTCAGGGTGCCCTGGGCGGAATGGGCACTAGCGTGCATTACGTGCCTCCCGGATGTACCGGAATTGCACAGCCTCTTGATATCGGAGTGATGGCGCCGCTGAAGACACACCTACGGCAGACATGTGCACAAGCTGCCGTACTAAACGCATTACCAGAGAACTCCGCGGAGCGCAGACGCTACATGCTCAACCACACAATGCCCGCTCTCGGCAAAATTACACCGGAGACCGTGCGGAATTCTTTTGACAAGGCAGGGCCGTTTTTTGGCTGCACCACGAGGACCGATGTTCAAGGCATGCTGGACGAGGCTAGTCTCCTTCACGTGTGGATGAGCAGAAGGATGATGTCGCGACTGTCCGTGGAGTGATAACTGGTCAAGTTGAGGAGATCCAAAACGAAGGTATCAGCCTCTGAGCTTGTCAGCTCATGAAAACATCTCATTGGTTAAAAATATACCGATTTTAATCAGTCAAACTTTATAGTGAAAATTGAACACAAAGCTCTATATCTAGTAAGTGTTCAGATCTTTGCGAAGATGTCGGTATATCATGACTGTATCATTTAGCCAGTTATCGCCATGAATTGTCGCAATATCGGTGTGTGTTATGATCACTCTGGTGCTCGGTTTTTCAATAACGAAGCATGGCGATTGTGTTTCTTGCACAGTATCAGAAGCAGATATACCCCATTCTTCTCCGAAGTCGTAGCTGAAGCCGCCATCATCACATTCATCATTATCCAGAGAAATAATCTCGGGTAAATTGTTTTTTTTTTTCGGCCAAACTCTATACCGCTTTCTTGGGGCTTTTGACCAAACTCGACACCTCCTCATTGAGGTTTTCGACCAAACTGAACATCGACGAAGGCTGCTCTCTTTTCCTCTTTTCGTGTTGGAGAAAAACGAAATGAGGCTATTCAGTTTGTGACGCTTGATGAATCTGGCCGCCCATGAGCCTTGTGTCCCGGGATCACGCTCACAACCCCCCCCCCCCCCCCCCCC